TAAATTCTTGAATGTTACTCTGGCTCTTGTAAATTCTCTGAGGACAAACTTTTTTTGTCTTTTCATGGAGCTCAAGGAATTCCTCAGCCCATGTTCACCAACAAACGACATACATGTAAGGCAGGTGCAGTTATGCGTTTCATATTTGTGGTCAAGCTGGACAGGTAGATGGTGATCACCCTCCTGGTTTTATGAGTGTAGCAACTTGGAAACTTGTGTTATATTTTCCATTCCTTTTCAGATAGGAAAATTAGGGCCAAATGAATGTCACCCATCAATCACTTGCTACCTATCAGCCCTCTGGGGTTGATCAGTAGAAGTGATATGCATGAGACTCCACACTTTCTTTGAAATCTTAACAGATTTCCTTCCTTTACAGTTTTGGCATGAGTAGGGAACTTCTGTTGATCAGGGTTAGTGAACATGGAAGTAGCACGTCTTTTAGATAATTCCTGTTCTAATTTCTCAAATTTAACTTAAGATGTAAAACAAAAATAAGTGTGGGCTTGTTGAAGACAGCTTATTTCCTTGCTGGAAAGCTAGAGGAAACACACATAGGAGCCTTGAGGATATCTCCACATGCTCTTTCTATTACTGAGTAAGGCCACATGTTACCACACCATCAACAAAAGACTGTTAAGCAGGGTGAATGCATAAAGTGTGGCCAAACCAGCTTGAGAATCGGCAGGGAAATTCTCAGTCTATGAGTCAGGGGAACTCCATTCCAGCTGCTGCTCCCTTGGCGCAGAGACCATTGCTCCCTTGTCCATGATGAAAGGTTGTCTGTATTGAAGTAGAAGAAGTCAGATTTCTCTCTCAGCCATTACAGAACCTCATATATGATGGAAGAAATGCTGTCAGGCAAAGAACCATCTTGAGAGCAAAGATACCAATACTTGTGTGCTGTGTGACTATAGGAGATGGGTTTTATAAGTGACTTATCAAAAAATGCATTGCTATGTAATTATACTGTGTAAATATAACCTAAGTAGCCTGAAGAAAAGCATAAAATACTTCCCTTTGCTGACCCCAGTTAATAGTGTCTGCTTTTTACATATGTAGAATTAACTTGAAATGAGGCTCATGTGTACTTGGATTCCATCTTTATTTGTAATTGCTATTCTATTTCTAGAAAATTTTGCCATATGTATGTCAGGGTACTATCTGCCTGCATGCTGTAATGCCCTTAGAATCCTGCCTCTGCAAAGCAGCTAGCTTATATCGTGCATTTTATTTTTTTTGTTGAAAAGACGTAAATATGATTAGATTTAAAACCTTGAGAATCTTCTTTGGTACCTTGGAAAAGGAATTTGCAAATCCCCTTTTGGGATAATGTGTTAACCTCTTCTCTACTAGGGCTCCCAAGACAATTCTGGTCTATTCAGAGAAAGGGAATTTATATGAGGGAAACTGGATCTTATGTCAGGGAAGTACGGGTGTGGCCATAGTAAGCTGTTCTAAGAAAGTCCTAGAACAGTGGTTCTCAACTCTCTTGCGTATTAGAATCACTTGGGAGATTTTTGACAATCTTGATAACCAGGCCCAACTCTAGACCCATCATCAGCGTCTCTCAGGGTGGGACCAGGCATCAGATTTTCCTTTTTTTTTTTTTTTAAACTCTCCAGGTAATTCCAATGTGGAACCCAGATTGACAGCCAATACTGTCCAACTTACTTCACTTTTTAATGTGTATTCAAAGATTTATTCTGAGCCTACTATATGTTAGCTCTATGATACAGACCGAGAGTACTAAAATTAATTGTATACCCCTACACCCTGTCCCGGAGTATGTTAGTGGGAAAAGATCTATAGTTGAATATAATCAGCTCCTCTTTTTTTTTTTTTTTTTTTGAGACGGAGTTTTGCTCTTATTGACCAGGCTGGAGTGCAATGGTGCGATCTCGGCTCACTGCAACCTCCTCCTCCAGGGTTCAAGTGATTCTCCTGCCTCAGCCTCCCGAGTAGCTGGGATTACAGGGTGCCCACCACAACGCCCGACTAATTTTTGTATTTTTAGTAGAGATGGAGTTTCACTATGTTGACCAGGCTGGTCTTGAACTCCTGACCTCAGACAGTCCACCCGCCTCAGCCTCCCAAAGTGCTGGGATAACAGGCGTGAGCCACCGAGCCTGAGGTAAAAGTGACATTAGGAATAACATCAAATCATGCTTAAAACAAAACCACCCAAAACAAGACATAAATTGAATGTGAAGGAAACATTACCATTCTATTTAAAAATTTAACAATATAAAAATATATATACTATTGTAGGAATCTTAAACATTCCCAATATTGTGTGGTAGAAAAGTCTACTGTTGAAATAGCTTGTTATGATTATTTCATTACTTAACTCATTTTGTCAAAAAAACAGTCTAGACTTGTGCTGTTCGATGTGGCAGACACTAGCCACATGTGGCTTTTGAGCAGCTGAAATGTGGCTAATCCAAACTGAGATGTCTTATAAGGGTAAAACACACATGGGGTTTTAAAGACTCAGCAGAAAAAACATGTAAAATATTTTATTGCTGATTTTTTTATACTGATTGCATGGTAAACTGATAACATTTTAGATATGTTAAATAAATAAAACATGATTATTCATTTATAGGTAAGTTAATAAGTATGTTAATAACCTGACAAAATATATTAGCTAAATTATATTTCTTCTGCTTTTTGAGTGTGGCTACTAGAAAATCTAAATTATATTTGTGGTTCACATTATATTTCTATCGGAAGGTGCTAGTCTGGAGGCATGTTCCATAGGCTTTCCTCAACTCATTCCTACACTCTCTTCTCATTTTCGCTCTACCTTCTCAGCTTGAATCCTAAGTTATTGGAATGTAGAATTTCACAAGCTAGCCCCCTGTCCACTCTGGGCCTGGACCTTGTTTGGCTCTCAAGTGGGGCTACTTAACCAAAGGAGGTAACACCATGCTACTTGATCAGGCTATTACCTCTGCGGTTCTGAAATGCATGGTTTAGGGTCTGTGGTTAAGAAATACATTATAGTTCACAGCAATATGCTATGATGTAGGGGCTGGGGTTTTGCCAAATTGCAGTATATACAAATGGAATATCTCCTCGCTGCTGTTTGGAGTTCCAAATAGTAGTTCCTTTATTACGTAGATATTTCACTGATTCATAGAAAATGTAGGTTTTCCATTTGCCACAAATATGCACTATTCACCATAGATAATCAAATTTCTATGACAATTGTCATACAGTTTAAGTATAGTCTTTCATCTAATATGCTATTTATTGTGAGAAATACCATTATTCCATGTACTGCTAAGAAAGATAAATTGCTGCCATAAGCCACAGCATGTAGATTCTTAAGATGTACCCCAATATCAGAGGCTCTAAAATACGAAAATTCTATCAATTTTGGAGTTGGTGTAATGTGGTATTGTAATTAGGCATATAGAATCAGAGAGGAAGAATGCCCAACACTTTTAGGTAAGACTTTCAGCAAAGGAGATATTTTTGTTCAGACTTGAAAAAGAGCAAAATAATAACGACGACAATGATGTTAACATTTACTGAGTGCCTCTATCTGCTAGATACCATGGGCAACAAATCGCCTTTTTACTTAGTCACCATGACAGTCCTTTGAAGTGAGTACTGTTACCGCCCTGCTATACAGATGAGGAAATTGAGGATTAGAAATTCTCAGCAGACAGGCTACAAAGGGCATTCCAGGCAGAGGAAAACACTGCAAGTCTCAGAAGGATGAAAGACATGATGTGTTTGGAAAATGGCAAGCGACTCGGTGTAGCTAGATCACAAGGCATAGGAGAAGAACCCAAGACCAAAAAGGAGATAAGAGTCACAAGATGACTTGCTAAAGAATCTGAACTTTATCTGACAGGCAGCAGATAATATTGGAAAATAATGTGTACAGGAGTGACATGATCATGTTGGATTTGTTTGTATTGTTTTGGTTTGTGCAGTTTTTTTGTGGGGGTATATATCACTTTGCTTTTTGTTGTTGCTGAGAAATATAACTAACAGTAATATGCAAAAAGGTTGAACAAATAACAGACTAATGCCATTGCAAAAGCACTGGCAAAGCCAAGGTGGGAGGATCACTTGAGGCCAGGAGTTGGAAACCAGCCTGGGCAACAGAGTGAGACCCCATCTCTACAAAAATTAGTTGGAAGTGGTGGCACCTGTAGCCTCAGCTACTTGGGAGGCTGAGGTGGGAGGATTGCTTGAGCCCAAGAGTTCAAGACTACAGTGACTATGATCACACTACTGTGCTCCAGCCTTAGCAAGAGAGCAAGACGCTGTCTCTAAAACAAAACAAAGCAATGGCAGTAAAAATAAGAAGGAAAAGACATAATTATAAACAGTAAAGGGCTGTTTTAGGCGTTACAGGACAGGATAATAAATTGGATGTACAAAATGAAACAGGAGAATAGGGTAACTCCTTTTTCTTGCTTGGATAACTGGCTGGATACTGGTAAGGAAGACTAGATTCGAGATGGAAGACAGTGAGGTCGACGTTAGAGATGTTAACTTTGCACATATGAGACACGCAGGTAGAGATTCTGGGCTCATGGGAGACAGCTAGATGAGACTCTAAAGGTAACAGTTCAAGTCATAGGAATGAATGAGATAGCCCGAAGAGAAGGGTGTAGAATGAGACAATACGTGAAGTATCAGAGTATCTGAGCACAGGGTATCATATAATAAATGTAACTGAGAAAAGATGCTTCTGTACTTCCATAGCACAGCTTATACAGAGCATTTTGCAAGGAAGTGAATTCTCTATTAGGAGTCTTATCACTCATAAAGTTTTAAGCAATTGTGTTCTTTATGCCTGAGAAGTCACATGCGTTGTGACTCAGGATTATTTTTACATCAGCTGCAATTCAGCTCTAAGAATCATGATGATTTAATTTTTCTTCTGTAAATCATATCCTGTTGCCACACTCAAATGGAGATGATGCATTTATCCTTATGTCTTTTATCATTCTTCCCTTCTCAGAATGCCCTTATATAGTGTTATTTGACAAAACTGTGGTACTTTTTCTTAATGAATTTCATTTTCGGAGAAGAATTGAGTGTAATTTTAATGGCACCACTTGGCGGGGTTGCAAACTCCATGATATCCATGCCTTTTTTCTTACATGTCTTTTTTCTTTTCCACACTAGGCTGTTGTTGAAGCTGGTTTATGGCTCAGTTCAGAATAACCTTGTGCAGGCATTTTGTGAGCTCCTGCTTTCCCACCCTCAGATCAAACGTGGTCATAATGATATGGCCTTCAAAAATGTGATGCTCACATTAAAAGTCCCCATAAACATGGCAGGGATCCTATAATTAAAAGAAGGCGCAGAGCAACTGATTAGATCCCAGGTATAGATCTTGTAGGTGGTCTTTTCATGCTGTTAAATTGGTCATTTGTATTTATAGCTTTGGCAGGGAGGGCTGGAACCTAAACTGGCTCTAATCCCAGCACTCTCCCACACTTGGCCTTATCTCATTCTCCATTAATTTCACTTGGCATCCATGAACGGAGCCAAATTCTAAATGATTCTGCCTGAACCATTCTAGCCCTAGTCTGTGAAACTATTTTCTGAGTTTCTTTGACCAACTGAGATTAGAGATATTCTTTTTTGTTTGTTTGTTTGTTTGTTTGAGACGGAGTCTCGCTCTGTCGCCCAGGCTGGAGTGCAGTGGCCCGATCTCGGCTCACTGCAAGCTCCGCCTCCTGGGTTCCTGCCATTCGCCTGCCTCAGCCTTCCGAGTAGCTGGGACTACAGGCGCCCGCCACCACGCCCGGCTAGATTAGAGATATTCTTAATATCAAAAATTGTTTTATTTTACCTGTGTAACAAACCTTCACATGTACCCCCAAACCTAAAATAAAAGTTAAAAAAAAAATCTGTCTTCTAGTAAAAAATAGATAAATTTACCAGACTTAAATAAACAAAAGCAATAATTCTGATTTTCTATATTGAATGCAAAAGGATTTATATAAACAGATGAGTATTCCATGACAGCTGGGACTGTGTCTGTTTTGTCCTGTTCACTTACTTGTCCCAACATAATATAGGCTCAGCCTGTCCCATGATAGGTGTTAATAAGTATTTGTTGAATTTATGAACAAACAATTTAAATTGTGTAAAGTACCTGGAGGCTACTTTTTCGCCCTCCCTCGGTTTTCTGTTTAAATCCTTTTCGAATTGCTGAATCATCCCAGAATCTGGAGAGGTACATTTTTGGTCAATAGTACATTTCTGTGATCAGACCTCCTGGATATAGAATCATCTTTCTATGTTGGGCATATGCATATAATCTATTCTTAGTAAATACTTGGGTCAGATTAGATTGACAAAGGCCATACTTAAATCTCTAAGTTGCAAAATAAGAGCAGGTTATTATGTAATTTCTTCACTTCAACCCCCAGAAATGTAGAAACAAAGCAATCTGAATCACCATATTCAACCACTAAGGTTACAGAGATCAGGAAAGGTCAGTAATCTGAGCAGTGTAACCTGTGAGGGAAATAATTCTGCCATTCTTTACAAAGCTTGTGGAAAGAAGAAATATGGCTGGAGAACATGCACTCTGCATCAGCCAAAATGGGTTCTTGTATACCCCACTGCTACTCAAGAAAATACCAACAGTCGTGGTTCCAAAGATCATCACATGGCCAAGAATTAAGATAATCTCTTGTGACTTCCGGATCACTTAAGTAACAGAGCAGTAATCCATGGAAGATGAAGAAAACTATTTGGCTAGGTGCAGTGGCTCAGGCCTGTAATCCCTGCACTTTGAGAGGCCAAGGCGGGTGGATCACCTGAGGTCAGGAGTTCAAAACCAGCCTGGCCAACATGATGAAACCCCATCTCTACTAAAAATACAAAAATTAGCCGGGCATGGTGGTGTGCACCTGGAATCCCAGCTGCTCTGGAGGCTGAGACAGGAGAATTGCTTGAACCCGGGAAGCAGAAGTTGCAGTGAGTCAGGATCATACCACTGCACTCCAGCCTGGGCCACAGAGTGAGACTTCTCCAAAAAAAAAAAAAAAAAGAAAGCTATTTTATCAGAGATCTATTAAGTAGGCTTTTATCTAAAAGGGCTAGAGGGGATTTTTTTTTTCCAGAAATTCCTGCAAAGAGCTTATGGTTTCCCCCTGAAGTCAGTTTCTAATGACCATCCAGTAATGGAGTTGTTAAATTATGGTATTTCCATACAATGGAATACTAAGCATCTGTTTAAAAAAAAAAAAAAAGTCTATATGTATTGACCTGGAAGGATCCCTAATGTTTATGTTTAAGTGGATAAAAGCAAGGGTCAGAAGAGTAGTTATGTTATTATTAGGTATATTATTTTATCATTCAGATAAAAGATGAAGCAAAAAATGAATGCTACCTAACAGTGAGAACAAATAAGAACTAACCTAAGACTGACCAGGCGCGGTGGCTTACGCGTGTAATCCCAGCACTTTGGGAGGCTGAGGCAGGCAGATCACGGCGCGGTGGCTTACGCGTGTAATCCCAGCACTTTGGGAGGCTGAGGCAGGCGGATCACGAGGTCAGGAGATCGAGACCATCCTGGCTAACACGGTGAAACCCCGTGTCTACTAAAAATAAAATTAAAAAAAAATTAGCGGGGCGTGGTGGTGAGCACCTGTAGTCCCAGCTACTTGGGAGGCTGAGGCAGGAGAATGGTGTGAACCTGGGAGGCAGAGCTTGCAGTGAGCCGAGATCACACCACTGCACTCCAGCCCAGGCAACAGAGCAAGACTCCGTCTAAAAAAAAAACTAACCTAGGACGGATATTCAGCTGGTCCTCACCATAACACCCATACAGGTTGCGTGTTCTGCTAGTTAGTACCTAAGTTATTATTAAATATTTAGACCATTACCCCTAAAACTAATCAAACAGGTTCATTGCTGCAGCAGGTAGAAAATGGGCAAATGAGGTAAATAGGTGTATGCAGATTTTTCATAAATTGGGGGGTTTTAACCAATGAATACCTCTTAAATATTAAACAAAACTTTTTTTTGAACAACTAACTTTCTAGAGTACTTTGCACTTCACATTTTTCCTCCAAGATTCTGCTTCCTATTCATTGCTTCCCCATTATTATACCAACTGGGGTCCCTTAGCCACCCAGACCTAGAATAGGAAACCAAATGGTCTTACTCACAGCCTCATTACTTTCATTGGGTGCTGGACCGGACAACTTAGAAGGAAATCTGAAGGTCCGTTATGGAGCCAGATCTATGAGCTAGTACCTTGGTTTCTTCCCTGTGGCTCCCTTCTTTAGCATCGCTCTGGATAGCGCTCTCCAGTGGAATCCTCCCAGTCAATGAGAAAATGCATGGAAATGTTTAAAGGCATTGAGAGCTCAAGACAGTCCAGTCACACACACACGCACGCACACACACACACATGCACACACACGAATCTGCTGGAGCCCCTCAGTTCTTTCTCCTTGACTTGGATTGACTTCACTTATTTTGCTCATGGGTCCATCATCACTTCAGTTTCAGGCATCACACTTTCGTGATGTTATTATTAGGTATGTAACATGAATCCTAATTCACATTATGATCAAGAAGTGGTCAAGAAGAGGCCTCTAGTATGTAGGGTGTTTTACCTATTCCTCATCTTTTTTTTTCTTATTGCCGTAATCCTGTTCTTTATTTCATTAGGGCTCTTGATTACACGGGTGCTTCAATGTACACTTTTATGAATATACCAACGTGAGAGAGTAAAGACCTTCTCTCAGATTACCCTGACACAGACCATCCTTTAAACCTAATCACAAACAGAAGCAAATCTCAGTCATTTATATCTTGGGATCATTGTCAGGATCTGGCCTCTTCCATGGGTATATGCATTTTAGGCCTTAACTCTAATTTTTTTAAGAGTTTGTCTCCTGTTTTTCTGGAACTCCTGACCTCAAGTGATCTATCTGTCCCAGCCTCCCAAAGTGCTGGGATTACAGGTGTGAGCCACCGCGCCCAGCCTTGTTTCCTGTTTTTAAACACTGTGTCAGAACGACATGCAAGTAGAAGAGAGATGCTAGTGGTTGTGTTTAGAGATAAGATATTATTTGTCAGATAAATATCATTAACTCTTACAGTGTCTTTCCTAGAGCAGCAGCAGCATTTACACACACACACACACACACACACACACACCCCCCTACATCTTTCCAGCCTTATGGAACCAGATTATTTGCTTGCTTTGGTAGAACAGGGGACTGTACCTTAAACTGATTTTTACGACTCCGAGT